AAGAAAATCCACCCCATCTCCCTGATTTTCTTATCACAAGGCTTTGTCCCCTCTTAGACCTGTTAGGGTTCCGAGATAACAAAAATGCTATGTTGTATAGACATGTCTATCCAAGGGTGGATAAGTGCCAAATTCTCCCTTGAGATCTCAACCGTGTGAAGTAAGGGGACCTGGAGGGGCCAATGCTAGTGAGTCGGGAAGAGGCTGCAGGGCATGGTGAGGATGGGAGAGGGCTTCGATGAGGCTGCAGCTTTGAATTTTTGTTGACATTTTCAGAAGCATGATCTTCTATTGCTGTATGTCTTCTGTGACTCTTGTTTTGGCTTTTAATTACACATAGATGATAATCCCTCCAACTACCATCCTCTCAATGAAGAAGGCAGTGCTTTTGCAAAAGAAGGAGGCCTAAGGCCTGGCATGGTGGCTCACACCTATAATCTCAGCACTTTGGGAGGCTGAGGTGGGTGGATCACCTAAGGTGAGGAGTTTGAGACCAGCCTGACCAATATGGTGAAACCTTGTCTCTACTAAAATTATAAAAATTAGCCGGGTGTAGTGGCATGTGCCTGTAGTTCCAGCTACTTGGGAGGCTGAGGTAGGAGAATTGCGTGAATCTGGGAGATAGAAGTTGCAGTGAGCTAAGATCCCGCCACTGCACTCCAGCCTGGGAGACAGAGCAGGACTCCATCTCAAAAAATAATAATAATAAAAAAATTCATCTCAAAAAATAAAAGCAGGAGGCCTAACAAGATGATCTAGCTGTGACATGTGAACACCAGTGATTATGGGCTATTGGAACAGGCCAGGTGCACATTCTCACAATTCCTCAAATCACCTGACAAAGATGGCTCTGCCCTGTTTATATCAGGAGATCACATTCTTGGGTCAAAATACTGCTGAAATGAGTGATTACCAATGACGAGAGACGTTTTCAACTTCTGTCCTCTTTCCCTGCTGCATCTCTCTCCTCTACCGTATGTCCTGGCTCCTCAGAATTCTGTGGCACACAGGGTCCCTTCTCTCCCTCACGGCAGACCATTTCCCCAGTCTCTGCACCACCTGAAATTCCAGTGGGACTCTAGGACGTTCAATACTATCATGGGACTTTCTTATCAATGTGTGATGAGTGACCGGCTGTTTGGTGGAACTGCAGCACAATTTATAAGGTTGGGATTCCCATTTCAACATTTGCTTCCCTAAGATGTCTGTGAATGAATATAAAGCATGTTGGGAGAAGGGAGATAAAAATATATATGTACAGCACATAGCTCTTCCATTTCAGGGGTTGGTATGGATGAGGTCTGCTGAGTTCTAGAAGTATTTCAGGATTTGGGTCAGTTATGCCGAAGTCTTAGAGAGGTTTAACGTGGTAGTTATGGTGGGGTGCTCTATAGGGTCCTAGACAATAATGCTCCCAGATTCACCTGGTCCGGGACTTGCAGTTCCTGGGTCGGGTCATACTCAGACCCATTCTAAAGCGCTGGGGAGACTCTGTGTACCAGTGTGTGCATGTGTGTGTTCTCAGTGTATGTGTGCGTGGGGGGGATGGGGGGGTGGGTGGGATGTGTGGGAGTGTGTTAGGGATGAGGTAGTCCTGGCTTGGTTATCTTCTCCCTTGCTGACTTCTGCCAACTTATCACCATGGCTGTGCTTTCATTCTTCTCAAAATCTGCTATTGAATGACCTTATGCTCTTAATGACCTTCTCATTAAGATCATGCTTTTGGAACCAGACGGGGACTGAATGTCATTTCCACCACTTACTCACTATGACCTGGGGCCAGTTGCCTGAACTCTTTATGCTTTAGTTTTCTCATTTATCAAATAAAGATAATAATAAGCTGTCATGAGAATCAAATAGGTTAATTCACACAAAGCACTTACTTAATCTCCCCAAGCAAACGTTTCTCAAATAGTAAATAGTTTCTTGTAAAGATCAGGAGTACATGTGAAATCACCTCGCCAAGTGCCTTTACATTAGGCAGCATATGAGGGGAGGTTATTACATGTAAAACCAATAATCACACCTTATTCTATGATGATGGACAAGTATCCTGATGAGTGCCTGCTATGTGTTAGGACTTCTGGTGATCTCATGCAATTTACTCATGATTTTTACCATAAATTCTCTAACATTTGGGAAAACTGTTCAGAGAGGCTGGGTCCTTTGTCACTGAGTTAATAACTGGAAGAGCAAGGATTTGGACTTGGATCTATTTGGCCTCAAAGCCGTGTATTTTTTCTTCTACGCCGCAATGATTTTTTTTAAATAAAAAATATGTTATTTGAGCATAAGGTTTAAGATCCAACATTCACATTCTGGAAATCCAGTGAATATAGAAGTTTTAGCTTTGTTACTGGGGCCAGCTACACAAATGAACAAACTGATCTCAGAAGCCTGTAGAAAAGGGGTAAAATGATGAAATCGCAGATTTTGAGAAGAATAAGGAAGAATAACAGCCATGGTGATGAGTAGGCGGAAGTCAGCCTTAGGATAGAGAAATAGGGGAGGGAGTGGAGCACAGGGCATGTTATAACTTCAGCACTGACGCTGTGCCATGCATTGTGTAATGCTGATGTATGATGAATGTGCCTCACAGCTCTCTGTGCCCCTCTGGGAGATTCTAGCTTATGTGACACAGCAATGTGAATTTCTGCAAACCCAAATCCAGGGATGCTTGATATTAAAAGGAAGACTGAGGTGGAATTAATATTCTGGGCTTTTATGATTCCATTTTCTTTTCATCGCCTCCACCTGACTAGGGTGACAAGGTTTTATTTTAATCTCTTTGCAGTCAGTGAAGTAGGATCCAGGTGTTCCTTCAAGGTGCCCTGATCTTGCCGTGTAAGACCTGTAATTGCCCATTCTAGTGTCAAATGTAAATGAAATTTACAAGAACGTGTCTAATTTGGTAAAATGAATAGATTTGGAAAACCAGCTACGGAGACTCCCTTATCCCAGGTTAGAGCATGCCTCATTACCTTGAGCAGTATTTTTAAAGGAATCATTTACATACTCCTCCAAATTCTCTTTACTCTTTTAGATCCCCTGCAAGAAGCATCTCAGGTTGGAAAGATGGAGTAGCCTGCTCAGATGGGTCTTTGCTTATAAGTCTATCTCCCTTCACAGGAATGCAAAACTTTTGCACGGGCAGGCTCCATGCCATATTTGTCTTCTCATTTCTAGCACTTAGCACATTATTGGCACATAGTGAGCACTTAGCATTTGTTGAATGAATACATGATCAGTGGAGAGAAAGGAGATGACTCGTATGCCATTGCTATGGTGTGTCATGCATGTGTTGGGCCCTTCACTGACTTGATTTTATTTATTTTTCATAACAATCTCAACTCAGACATTATTTTTCTTTTTATATATGAGAGCAGAGATGACAACTCCAAGGATTTTGAGATCCAGCAGGTGACACTGAAGAGAAAGTGGGCAGTAGCCCATAGAAAGTGGAAGGGTTTATGGAGACCTGGCCCAGTCTACAGGGGACAGCCCTGACTCGGTTTCACCCAATGGGTGCCATGTGGGAATATGGGCCCATTGTTGCTGGATCTTCTTAATTTTCCAACAAAATTAGAAATTGAGATGCTTTGATGGAATCTCCCAACTTTAAAATCGTGGTTCACATGTGCTTAAAACAATTTGTGACCCAAAGGAATCGAATCTGCTGGACAGTTTTAGCCAAAGCATAACCAGTTTGCACCACCTGGAACAGGCTTAGAGAAGTTAAGGAAATTGCTCAAGGTCAGGCAATGCCTGAGCTGCTGGGTTTCTAACTTCTAAGTTCTAAATACAATTTGCTTCCATATATATACATATATATATATAAAATTCATAAGTGATAAAATTATTTTAAAGATTATTTTATTTTCTAACCAATCCAGTCATAAATATTTGACTGTAATTCCTATATCAATTTTTTTTCTGAGAAATTTGTGCTTGGGCATGATTTCATTTTTAAAATTTTTTCAGACAACTATATTTGGGTATTATGGGGTAATCTTCATCCCTGTAATACCAGCAAGCTTGTCCAACCTGCCTTATTTTGTTGTTGTTGTTGTTGTTCTGTTTTGTTTTGTTTTAGCCTTTTAGCAGTCTGAAGTCATGATTTTTAGTTTCTGTCTCTAGTGATAAGTGAAAAAGAGGGATGAGGAAGGGGCTTTACTGGCCCAACCAGAAACAGAAACTAACAACAAATGACTGTATTCTCTCCCTTGGATACCCCTTCAGGGCCTAAGGTAATTGTCCTTTCCATTGTATTCCTGTTATCACTAGCAGAGCAAGCCAACTATGCAGTGGGATAAGCAATTCCTTGCAGAGAGACAGTTAGCACTGCAGAGGCACAGATTAGGTCCCACAGCTAGTAAGTGTTGTTAAGTCCAGGATTCAAATCCAAGACTCTGAATCTAGAGCCTGTGTTCTGAACTCTTATGATATATACCTTCTCTGAATGCAGTGGTGATAGACAGACACGTCTTTGCCTCAGGCTTCTTTTCACCAAAAGTAAGGAGGCAAGTGTTAGGTAAATTCTTCCCTCTTATTAATTCTTATAGAATCGTCTTCCTTTGGCCGGATGTGGTGGCTTACACCTGTAATCCCAGCACTGTGGGAGGCCGAGGCAGGTGGATCACGAGGTCGGGAGTTCGAGACCAGCCTGACAAACATGGTGAAATGCTGTCACTACTAAAAATTCAAAAAATTGCTGGGTGTGGTGGCACATGCCTGTAATCCCAGCTACTCAGGAGGCTGAGGCAAGAGGAATCCGGGAGTCAGAGGTTGCAGTGAGCCGAGATCATGCCACTGCACTCCAGCCTGGGTGACAAAGCAAGAATCTGTCTCAAAAAAAAGAAAAAAAGTCTTCTTTCTAAAACTCCCCATCCATCCACCCATCCATCCATCCACACTCACTCATCCATACATGCTTTCCACTTATCCATCCATCCATCCCTCCACTCATCCAACCATCCATCCATCATCCCTCTACTCATTCATCAATCCATCATCCCTCCACTCATCCATTCACCCATTAATCCATCCCTCCATCCATCACTCCACTCATCCATACATCCTTTTATCTACCCATCCGTCTGTCCACATATCCATCCATCCACCCATCCATTCATCCATCATCCCTCTACTCATTCATCAATCCATCATCTCTCCACTCATCCATTCATCCAACCATCCATCTACTCATCTATCTATTCTTCCATATACTTATTTACTTCCTGACCACCACCACCGCCACCAAAAATGTAGCAATTCCTTTTAGTAACAGCTGCTTCGATATCATCATGAGCTTCATCAAGGTGACTAATTTCAGAGAGAGCTTTGAGAATCAGAAACTTAAAGACTGGCATTGGGTGTCACTGAGAAAACAGCAGACAGATGTTAACATGAGCTCTGCTGTTCTGAGTGGTATTTTCCTGGAAGTCTGTCAAGGAGTTTTCCAACTAAAATTAACTTTGTGACATCTGAGCCAGAAACACAAGCTGTGCTTCATTCCCAGCCCTCATGCATGTGCCTGCGTGCATGTGTGTGAGTGCCACTGTGTGCCTGTGCCCGTGTGCACATGCTTCTGTGTGCCTACATGCTTCTGTGTGTAGATTTGCATGCCTATGCCTGGTGTATGTGTATGTGTGCATGAGTCTGTGTGTTGGGGATGAGATCAGGTATAGTAAATATTTTGGGGAATAGTAAGAAAAGGCAGCATTGTATTAATTGGCACATCGTTCACAAGAATTTAAACACCATGTAGCTCACTTTACAGAACTCAAACATGCTTTCTGAATTGCATTGAATTGAAGGAAGAAGCACACCTTTGCCAGGATTACTCCAGGGAATCTTGTCATTCAGTCACCAGCAAAGGTGGAGTGGATTCTTTATAATGTGCCTGTCTTTAGTTATCCAGGTGGTAACAATGAATGACAGATGAAATGGCAACCAGAAGGCCTGACTATTTCTGAGGCTGACTCTGTAGGCTATATTTTGAAGTGTCTACTTTTCTAGAAATGGCTCCATTTCTCCCCAGGGACTCCATTCTTTGAACTCCATTAATAGGCTTTTTTGTCTTCTGGCTTTCAGTTGCATTTGGTCAGCGGCGGTGGTGATGGGAGTAGCCATCGGGGAGGGGGACACAAACAGCAGGCTAGAAGGGGTATGGAGGAAAGTTAGGTTGGGTATTTATTCCCCTGGGTTCTTTATAAGGGTTACTTTAGGCTGGTTGCACCCCTTGACTGAAATGCATACTTCTATGTCAGCCCTTTGGGTATCTGCTACCTCTTCCTTCCCCTATCAAGCCTAGGATGGAAACAGGAACTGCCTTTATCAGCTCTGGCCTCTTGCACTGTCTCCCGTGATCTTCCTACCCCTTGCTCATGACTTTGTAATAATTCCATTTATTAGCCTTAACTTGTCCCAATTTTCTGCCAAGGTGTCTCTGATACACAGAACACCTAAGGTAATGGGACCCTAAAGCAAGTCTAAACCCATCTGTGTGTGATTTTTCTCCATTGAAAGTTATATCATACCAGACTTCCTTGCCCACAAGAAAGTTGTCAAGGCACAATGAGAAAGTAGAAGAAGGGTTCTGGAAGGGTTAAAATAAAAAGGCAATTCAACAGTAAGATGCTAATGCACCTTATACAATGTCATCTCTGTATCTTTTCAGCTATAATAATAGGCAAGAGTAAAATGCTTAGTCACTCACTATCCCAGGAAAGTGGATCCTGTGCTTTCTGAGATGTTCATTAGGCAGCATCTTGCTTTCTACTGATAATTCAGCTGAGCATGAAAAATGTGTTGCACAAATTCCAAACTTCATCAGAACATCCCCACACATGGCTGGGTGCCCTCCATTCTGTGGACACAGATGTCCAGTCGCTGAGACAAATGAGTCACACTGGAAATCGGTAAGTGCCATAAAACCACACTTGACTTCCCGAGTGCAGCTTGCTTGGAATGCATGGTTTTTGACCAAACTCAAGGAAGAACTTTGCCGGGCATTCCAGGACACAGCCTCTTGTAGCTTAGGGTAAAACAGTCCTTGAGATGCCTCAGCACCCAGCATCCACAACACTCTAGGATATACATTCCCATGGGGGCACCTCTCCATATCCTTCACCCTGGCTATGGGCTTGCCCAGTGAGGCACAGGGACATTTGAAGTCCTGGGTGAGCAAGCATGAGCACACGGGTTAGGCTGTCCTACCCTGTTTTCTCAGGCAGTTGTTCCATACCCAGATTTTTCAGTGTTGTGTGTGGATTGCCATACACCCCAAGTCTAGGTTCATCCATTTAATGAGATGCACCTCACTGGCTACAGCACTCACAGGTTTAAGCTAAGCAGGAAGAAAGTGTATAAGGTGTAGCAGGTAGGTACTTTCTTGCCTGATGCATTCCACTCCTTTGATAAGCAGAAACAAACAAACAAAAAAAAAACAACTGAAGGCCAGGATTAGGGCTGGAGAGCAAAGAGGAAGATGGAATTTTCTTGGACATTTTGCTGTGGAGTAGCAAGCAGAGCAGCAGGGAGCAGGAACAAAGATATTTGGCACAAAGAAGGCTTTGACTCGCTAGTTACATTCTACAGAGTTTGGGGGGCTCTCTCTGGAAGGGTTCCAAGCTCTGCATATCAAGGTCTCCCTGGTCTTATGTCCTTCAGACTAGACTCCAATGTCTGATTGTGTCAGCAATGCCTCAAGGCAATGTCTTACCACCCCATTTCACACTTAGTTTCTGGAATAGCCTCCTCACTTTATCTGTCTTTCCTCTCCTCCTTTACCATAGCAATAGGGACCCGAGTAGGGAGGATGCTCTGCGTCCCTGGTTCCCTCAATCTTCTTGGAAGAGTCTGGTCTCTCTCCTGATAGAGTTTTAGGTTTGCCCTGATGATCCAGATGAAGCAAAGTGTGGTGACACTTCGCTGAATGCTCTGTCAGTGTGCCTAGAAATAGAGTCTCTATCAGGGTTGTCTGCTTCCTATCACACTCCAACTGGCAAGCAGGTGGATTTTCTCACTTGGCAGCTGGCTCCCATCTGCCCCCTGTCAGTCTGCAAATATTACCCAAGTTAAACGCGAACTTCTAGCAGTGATGTGCACAGCCACAAAAAAAATATGAATTCAAATATACACTTTTGAAAGGGACACCTTAGTTCAGTCATTTAAATTCATTATCTCAAAGATCAGTTTCACTAAAACTCCCACTTGTGCTCAACAGAAATCACGCTGACGTCAGGCACTTCCCTCAATTCTCAGAAGTTGAGCAGGTCTAAGCCATCCCGTTCAACACACAATTCCCTTCAGTTTCCCTTACAAGACCTCAAACAAATGTCCAGGAACTGATTCAGGATATATGTTCTCCTCGGAAACTGGTTACTCAAGTTCTTGGTGGCTTAATACAAATACAGTAAACAAGGGACTTCCCAGGGGAGTCATTCAGTCAAAGCCAGCATGGGACCTGGTGACCTGCAGTGTCACAGGCTGGACTTCAGCACAATGAGTTCTTACATAACAGAAAACACATGGGTTAAAAGTCACAGACACATCCTGAAGATACTTCCCTTATTTATATATTTTTAAACTTTTATTTTAGGTTTGGGGGTACATGTGAAAGTTTATTATATAGATAAACACGTCATGTGGGTTTGTCATACAGATTATTTCATCACCCGGGTAGTAAGCCCAGTACCCAATAGTTATCTTTTCTGCTCCTCTTCCTCCTCCCACATACCCCTACTTTCCTTATTTTAAGAAAACAATGCTGGTGATGTCCCTACAGCTCTTCCTAAAGGTAGATGAATGAACTACAGTTCTATTAAAGACCCTATGGGTCCAGACCTGTGTGTGTCAGTTCTAGTTTACTAATCCCTTACTGAACGCATTTGACAGGATCTTTGCTGTTAACAGGGGACAGAGCAAGGACATGTGACATGTGACTTCAGCTATAAAATAACACAGCAGCTCCCATCACCTGCTCCTCAGAGAGCTCCTCAGGAGCAAGGATGTAAGTCCCTTTCCCCTATGTCTCCCTGAATGACTCTCACTTGGCCATAATTTACAACGAGAGGGTATACATGCTCATGAAGGATGCATATCTTTGCCTCTGTCTACCCTGACACTGGCCCTGGCCCTGTGGACTAGAAAGTCTTTGAGAAAATTGTGAGGTCCTGCAATTGTGTGATTTCCTTCCGTGTACCCAGGTTCTGAATCGGAGCATAGAGAGCGACCATCATTGGCCAGGGAGAGTCTAGAGGACATGTCATGGCTGTCTTTTTTGTCTCTCTTTTGTTAGATTCCTGGTATCATTTATGGCCACAGGTCATTTTACTGAAGAGGAGGAACCTGGGATCAAGTTCTGTGACTTCAAAGAAGAGTCATGTGTACAAAACTTTGGGAGACGATCACCACAGACAGGATTTGGAGACAGGAGCCTATTTGATCTTTTTCTTCTCCTTCTTAAAAGTGATAATATGAACATAAAACTATTTACAGCTTTAAACAAACCCGTAGTTCAGTACTGAAGCGTGCGTAACACATTCCTCTCAACTGAACAATACACAAGCAGGCATTCTGGAGATTTTATTGCACCAGATTGGTGTGATTATAAGTAAGAAGATTGGCAACATCAGCTCCCTGGAAAAAGGCTTGACACAGGTTAACACTTTAATATGAATAACTTTTTCTCTAATTAAAAAAAGATTTCTTAATGTATTTTCTTTGCTTAATCTCCACTGTGTCTTGCTGTATCCAACCCTACATCTTTGTCTGTATTCACATGCGTATATATTCAATCCTATATCTCAAATATGAAAATTATCTCCATCCCTTCTTGCCCTATTGTTGCCGTGATTTGCAGAGCATCATTGTGCAGCTGTGGATGAATGGCCTTCCGGGGCTGTTTCCAACCTTATTTCCTTTTGCTGCTGGTTAGTTTGATGCCCTAGGTTTAAGTGTTGGGATATTTGTGGTTTGGAACTTCTAAGTTTCATGCTAGTTTTTTTAATGAAAAAAAACTATGCTTGGGATATGCATTCTTATCTAAAGAACAAGAAATGTTCTTGTTGACCCTCATATGACCCTCAGGAACCAAATTCAGGCTCTGGGCATCCGGGATTAAGCTTCCTGAAAAGCTCTACTTCATGGGCTGACAGTTACGTGCCTTTCACATGAAAATTTCCTCTGCTGCTGAAAGAAAATGCACAATTACCAGAGGAAATGTCACTTCACATGATGCACAGGTGATAGAGAAAAAATGTGCATTTGTGTAAAGAAACAAACATTCCCAAATATGCCTGCCTCATTTGTGCTTCCTTAAGGGCAAAATGCCCTTTTGGGAAACAGACCTTTCCTAGTAGCATTTTCAATGACTCTCAGTCCTTCTCACATTTGGCTTTGACTGAATTCAGACTTTTCTTGTCAATTAAAAATGATAAATTTGACTTCTTGCAGGAAGATAAATGATCAGCCTGTGTCAAGCATGTGAAGACCTAAGATTTCAGATGCACTGGAATCATCCTGAAAAATTCATCCGGCACACCCAGATGGATGATCAAATGACCGTCATCCAGGGAAAGTCTGGGAGGTCTCACGCAGTATGCAGGTATTCTGAAGAGCCATTAGCTTTTAGAATGTTGCAGCAGCACTTCTCTAGCTTTTCCTTGCTTCCTGGCTCTTCATGAGAATGGCCAACTATATTCACCTCTGCCTACCCTCTGTCCAGGAAAATCCAAGACCAACCTCGAGACAGATGTTTGTCCTTTTAGCTTTTATTTTTAGAGGCACATTGTCTGGGAGTGACATCTATTTACTGGTTATTCATTTTGCTTTCTGCTTCAGGGATGTTGATAAAAAGTGTGGATCTAAATAATTGCTTCCCCTCAGCCATCTCACAGAAGGTGTCCTGGTGCATTTTATATCCTGAGGGCAAATGAAAGCTATGTGTTCTGCTCGGCAACTGTTTTTTATGTTGATGCTCCTTTTTCAGCATATGAATGTGTGGAGAGGGTGATTGTTTATTATCTAGAGGTAGTGGTGGGGGCAGATGCGAGGGCAGATGTGGAGGGAGGTGGGAGATTTCTAACTTTCCACTTCCATCTGTAATTTCTTTTAAACAGATACTCTGATTTTATATAAAGCAAAGCTCTTTGCATAACCAAATTGACTGCCTTTCTCAGATATTTTCCTGAATAGAATGTTTCCTAAGATGGGCTTAACTAATGATGGAAAGAATGTAATCCGTCTGTGAAAAACTTTTAATCTTCATGGAAAATAAAATCAGATGCATAGGGGCTTTCTAAATTTCATTTGCTTCTGCTTCACTTCCTTTCCATTCAAAAAATAATTGATTGCATGTGCATGAGAGAGAAGCCAACCAGACACTTTTTTGTTTTTTCACCGAATGCGTCATACACTGTTGGTGTCCACAAGTGATGGGATAGGGAGGTCGTGGAAAAAATGAGGTTGCCCCTTTCGGGAACTTTTGTGTTGATGATGACAGTCTTGTGAATAATACTGTAGATAAGGAAAGTAACAATCAATATTTTTGAGTTATTATTATGTGCAAGGTTGTTGGGGGGAAGCTCTTTATTTGCATTTGATCATTTAGTTGGCCCAAAAATCATACAGAGTAGCTACTATTATTATCTTATGCCTACCACAAAACTCCAAATTTCACCTTTCAACAATGACTCTTCCCTAGGAGTTCCCCATCTCAGTAAATGGTCGTGCCAGTTACTAATTTGCTCTGACCTCAAACTTGGAAATGAGTCATCTTTAGTTTATCTCTTTCCTGTTGCCCGCCTGCCCCTCCCCCGATTTGACAACAAATTATTCCAAATCATTGGCAGCAAGTTCCTTAAATTGGCTTCTTTGATGTGATTCTTAAGTTACCTCTCACACCTCACCTTCCCATCACTCTTCTCACTTCCTCAGCTACACTGGCTATTCTATTCCTTAAATCTGTCATGCTTGTTAGAAATCCATATTTAATCAAGTTCTTCCTTTTTGTTCAAACAACTTTAGTTTAAGCACCATCATCTCCAGCTTGGAATATGGAAATAGCCTCCTGATTTGTCTGCATGCTTTCTTTCTGGTTCTTTTATAAAGATCCAGCATGAGAATGCGCCTTGAATCATGAGTCTAATCGCATCACCCTCACTACCTTAAGCCTACAATGGCTTGGCTTTACTCTTGGAAGAAACACATAGCTCCTAACGTAGCCTTTGTGATCTGACCGCTGCCTGCCTATCAGATCTCCCATCACTGTCCCCCTCACTCACTATGTCCCAGGTTTACCAGCCCCTTTTCCCTCTATCTTGAACATATTCCTGCTTTTTTCTGCCTCAGAGCTTTGTTCTTACTGCTTCTTATCCTGGAAAAATCTTCCCCAGTCTTCACAGGATTGGCTATGCATCATGGTCATAATTTTACACTTGAAAGTAAAAAACAAATAGTAATCAACAAGGAATAACATGCTATCACATTCACCCACCACTGGGGAAGATTGAGACTTGAGTTTGGGAGGAGTTTGAATGACAGACAAAATAGCAGATTTTGAAGGGAGTGACTATAGATTTTGTATATTGGAGTTGAGATGAGCCCAAGTGTATAAGAACCTCTTTGGGAGGCAGAATGTGCATCTTCCTCTGATTTTACCATAAGCATTATAAACAAATTAAGTATTTATGTATTCATGTTGCCTCACCTACTCTGATGCCAGCACTGCATGGAAGAAAACTCTGGAGGGTGCAGAACTGGCAAGTCAGTAGAATAGATGAATCAACTCTACTGATAAGGAAGCTGAGGCATAGAGAGGTCTTTTAAAGCTTGCTTACAGTGCAAGTTAATGCGCAGAGGCAGAACTTAAACCTAGAACAGACTTCAAAGGACCTGCTGCTCCTCTAATTATGTGCTGACCATGTCATTCTCATACCGTCCCTATTCTACAGCATTTGATTTGAATCACATAACTGAGCACATGATTCAATATACTCTTTCCTAATGTTTCATGTATGCTTCATGATGTTTTGTGTATGTTGTCATAATATTTTGCCTCATCTACACATTTATAAGCTCCTGAGTCCAAAGAATAATCTTTCGTAATTTTTGGCACACAGAAACCTTTGCTACTTAGGGAATTATATTTCTCTTGTATCTTTAGAGACAATCAGCCAAGTTGTTATTAAATCCTCACTGTAGATATACTACTATTTCATAGGCAAAGTGATACTATTGAAAATAGAGTTCTTAGGATACAAAGTTCAATCAAAACAGAATGAATATTGAGTTTCTCTGAATGAATTTGCATACTGTGATGGTTAATATTGAGTGTCAACTTGATTGGATTGAAGGATGCAAAGTATTGTTCCTAGGTATGTCTGTGAGGGTGTTGCCAAAGGAGATTAACATTTGAGTCAGTGGACTGGGACAGGCAGACCCACCCTCAATCTGGGTGGGCATCATCTAATCAGCTGCCAGTGTGGCTAGGATAAAGCAGGCAGGGAAAGATGGAAGAGCAGAGTTGCTGAGTCTTCCAGCCTCCATCTTTCTCCCATGCTAGATTGTTCCTGCCCTCGAACATAAGACTCCATGTTCTTCAGTTTTGTACACTTGGACTTACATCAGTGGTTTGCCAGGGGCTTTCAGGTCTTTGGCCACAGACTGAAGGCTGCACTGACAGCTTCCCTACTTTTGAGGTTTTGGGACTCAGACTGATCCACCATTGGCTTCCTTGCTCCTCAACTTGCAGACGGCCTACTGTGGGACTTGACCTTGTGATCATGTGAGTGAGTTCTCCTTAATAAACTCCCTTTTGTATATACATATATCCTGTTAGTTCTGTCCCTCTAGAGAACCCTGAATAACACACGTATGTACACACATACATTCATCCACTCTATTCTCAGATCCTTCATAAAGGAGTTTCTTAATGGAATCAGAATAAATCATCATTCATGTTACTACCTTTTTCAACTAGATGGGAAGCAGTTTAAAACAGAGTATAATATCGGAATTACAGTGGGAAATAGAGCAATTGGACTCCATTATCCGAACTCAACAAGTCTTTGTGACTCATCCTCCTGGGTTGACTCGGATAACTGCTCATCTCAAATAATCTGTGATGAGAAATTTTTGCTAGTCATACTCAGTGAAGCTGTCTTGCCCCCACTGTCAGTGGGTGACTGGGTAGTGAATCACACAGTCAATGCTTTATTTTAACCAAGAGGTCATTTACTCACCAATATATTCATTAAATATTTATGAAATTCATATAGGCTTGTTTTGGCCATGAGAAATTCTGAAGTAGACATACTAGAAACTTCCTAGGCCCTTAAAGCATAAGTGTAAATAAGGGAGGTTTGACCCAGTGCTGACGTGGTAAGTCTTTTGAGCTTAGGGAACTTGGTCTTTAAGCTGGATGGGGCTCACTCATTTGAGTTGCAAAATTGATTTCTTATATAGCGGTATACGATTTTTCTGGCTACTGATATGACTGTGGCTATAAAAGGCAGCAAAGCTACAGTTCTCAGGTTTTCTGATATGGTATATGTCTCACTTTAGTGGCTTGTCAATACCACCAACTTTGGGCATACTATTGTAAGCTTCAAAGAGAATCAGTGGGAGCTGCATTTGTTCCCAGCACCCCTCCCTGATTTATATCTTATGCAATGCTCATTAGCTGCTTTTGGAGTAAAACAAAGAAAAAGTAACCTTGAACTGAATCCACATTGCTATTCTCTCCCATCCTCTAATCTGAAACAGTCCTCTTGGTTTGACTCTTCTCTGTGCTTGGAATGCAAAGATCACCTAGCTGGAGTCCCTTCCCCTAAGAAATCTTGAGATATCGATAAATAAAACACACACACACACACACTCATCCACACATACATAAAAATACATATAAGATGTCATGAGAGTACGAGGAGAGAGTAACTCATTCTCTTAGGGGTGGGTGGGGGGAAGAGCAGAAAAGAAGAAAGGGCATTTGAGAATTCTCCTTGACCTGAGTCTTGAAGATTGATAAGAAATTCTTCAGACTGTCTAGGAATGAATGACAACACAGGCAGAGGAAACAGGGTGTGAAAGACAGAGCCTCATGGAGTATAACATGTTCAACCTGTGGTTGTAGGACGTTGGTTGATACCTAGGATAAATGAAGTTCCCCAGAAAGATAGAAGGCAGTTAGAACTCACAAAGAAGAATGATTGGAAACACTAACATTCAGTGAGATGAGAACCCTGAAAAACACTCAAAAGGAACATTCTACAGGTATGGGGAGGACCAGCAAAGGGCAATATTGAAGAAGCCCAGGAAAGAGACGTTGAGTGGAAGGCACCCACTGAGTTGACACTGAGTTGATCACTAGTTTTCTTGGCAGGATGGCAAGGTCATAGTTCACAAAGTTATGAGGGCTGGGAGAAGCAAAAATGCAGACAACGATGTAGGCTAGTTGCTATAGTTTGCATATTTGACCCTCCTAACGTCATGTTGACATTTGATCCCCAGTGTTGGAGGTGGGGCCTAATGAGAGGTGTCTGGGTCATGGGAGTAGAAGCCTTATGAATGGTGTGGTGTCATCCTCACCATAATGAGTCAGTTCTTGCTCTATTTGTTCCTGCCAGTGCCTGTTGTGAAAAAGAACCTGGCACCTCCCCAACCCCTTGCTTCCTTTCTCACCATGTGATCTCAGTACATGCTGGCTTTGCTTCACCTTCCACCATGAGGGGGCAGCCTGAGCTCCTCATTAGAAGCAGATGCTGGTGCCATGTTTCTTGTACAGCCTGCAGAACAGAACTGTGAGCCGAATAAGCCTGTCTTCTTTATCAATTACCCAGGCTCAGGTGTTCCTTTGGAGCAATGCAAATGGACTATGGCATTATTCTTGTAGAAGGCTACTTTTGCACAAGAAGTAGCCTTCAACAAAAAGAGAAGGATGGGATGATACTTAGAAAGGATGTATACAACACATGCCATTTACTTTAAAGAATTCCTGTGAGAAAGAAGTCAGAAAGGACAAAGTTAAAGAAAAATGTAAAAAACAAGTTGATTACTGGGGGAACACCAGGGAAGCACCAAGTTTTGGTGGAGGACTGAGCTGGAGGGGACGGGATTGAGGCTCCAAGACAGAACTGAAGGAGGTAAACACAGGTGAAGTTGAAAACAATGGAAGATGCTGAGGGTCCTGGCCTGCTGGCAGCTATTTTATATGCCAAGGAGGAGGTAGAATAAGGATTATCTTAAGATTTTCAGACATCAGAAACAAATGGGGAGAGTCTTCTGAAGGAAGAAGGGCAATGAAATAAGGCTAAGTCTGGCCCTGGAGATGAACAAGATTTTGTACCTTTCAAGTGAGGAAGAAGGAAGACCGAAAGGATCCCCTCTCCTGATAAATCCTCTACTTTCCAGGGGAGAAAAGCAGGGTCTAGACTGACTTTGCCAATTGGACTATTTTCTGACAAACTTGAGTACCTTTGGTGCCTTTATTCACGAAGTTTTACATTTGAATAATTCAAAATACATTATAAAATATTTGGTTTTTAAAATACAGTATCACAGGAATTGTAATCAACAATGAAAAATAGACTTTAAGATAGAGCCATGAGTAAAAATTACTTACGAATGTAATTGAAGGGACAAAGTACAACAGAAAGCACACAAAGGCTTATTTTTACCTATCCAGCAAAGCCTTGGTAGATTTGTGCTTTCAATACTACATATTTTACTTCTCATTGCAACTGATATTCATGAAATGCAGTGATACCAGGATAACAGCAAATTTAAAAAGATGAAGTATCTTTCCCTTAATTAATGTCTACAAAGAGATTTAATGATGAAAAGTGTCATTAACTGCCAAGTATTATTAATTATTTTTGCAGCAAGAGGCAGAGAGTCCTCATTATATTATATGCTGTTTTAAATATTATAAAATATTTTCAAAATAAGTTTAAAAATTATAAACAAGCCAAATAAAAAGGCATTTTTGTTTCTAGGTGAAATAAAGATCAAAATACAAAGGAAAACTCATTTACATCATACACAAGGAGCCTTCAAAATACACCCCCAAAGACACCCGGTGCTCTGTTCTTTTTCTGTATTCCTTGTATGTCTGCAATTTGCATAAACTGAAGCAAGTTTCTACTTACACTTTGACACAAATGTTAATCCTGTCTGCTGGCAAACACACACTGGGATCTTACCTGTCTCAACTCTGTCTACTCACCTTCTGTGGGGCTGTTCCCCGTGAACTGGGGTTCTGAACCAGCTTCTAAAATTCCCTGGTTTTAGTGGAGAAAAATCTCAGAACCATTTGTAACCTCTGGGTCAGGTCTATTTCGGAGTCAATCTCCATTACAGTTCCAGGTTGGTCTAGACTTAACAGCCCAACACTTATTTAATTGAACACTTATTTTATGCCATGTATTGTGCAAGCTCCTGCTCTTGAGCTATATACATTGTTGACCAGATAACTTTACTTCCCTAATTACTATTTTATTGTAGGCCATGCTTTAAATTTTCTTGTGAGAGAGGGTCAAAGTAGGAGACCAGCTGGCAGGAGAAAATATTGAACTATTCATTTTTTTCTCTCCTTTATAAAAATATATTTTTTAATTTAATAGGGTTTTGGGAAACACGTGGTGTTTGATCACATGAACAAGTTCTTTAGTGGTGATTTCTGAGATTTTGGTGTACCCATCACCCAAGCAGTGTACACTCTACCCAATGTATAGCCTTTTATCTCACCCTTCTCCCTGAGTCCCCAAAGTCCATTGTATCATTCTCATGCCTTTGCATCCTCATAGCTCAGCTCCCAATTATGAGTGAGAACATATAATGTTTGCTTTTTCCATTCCTGAGTTACTTCACTTCAAATAATAGTCTCCAATTCCATCCAGGTTGAACTTTTCATTTTTTATGTTTCTCCGAATGCCTATCAACTCTAACCATTTATGGAATTAACTTGGCTACTCAAGGGATCAGATGTGTTTCTGGGGTTGCATCCCCATTGTTCCTGCATTTAGCTTCCTGGCTGGCTAGTTGTTTGCTTGGATTCCGCCCAGTGCAGATGGCAGCATCTCTACCTCAGAGGCGGATGACACATGGTTTACTAATCCTCCCTCAAGTTGCAGCTTTGCTTCTAGAGCTGATTTTCTGGGAGTCCAAATAATTATGCTTCACCTGTGCTATGTACTCCTTAATTACATTATTTTCTTAGTTATGTTTGATGACAAAGTTATCAAAATTCAACACACTCAAAACCAAAATAAAATCTGGGAGCAAAATGTCTTTTGCTGCATCACCACAGTAAGTTATAAAGAGGACACGGCACACATTTCCAGGAGGGGAAGTAACTAGACCCTTGGTTAAAACCACTCTGAGAGTTGGCTACTTTTGGAACTAAATAGGGAAAGTTCTAGAAAAACTAAGTGTGCCCAGGGAATAACAACACATGAAGGCAGGGTGACAGGCAAGTGACAAGTGACGGAGAAAACAGTCACAATAATGGTGCTTAGTGAAGCTGAAGGCAATTTCCACTTTTTAAAAATTGTTCCTTCTTCTTCCCTTTCTTCTCCACATCTTCCTTGTCTCATCTCCCTTTCCTTTCTCTTCCTCTCTTTTCTTCCTCTTCTTCTGTCCTCCTCTTCCTTCTTCCTTTGCTTCTCTTCTTCTTTCATTTCCTTCTTTTCCCTCCTCTTTCTCCTGCTTTTTCTTTTGCTTATGCTTTTCCTCTTTCTTTTCTGCTTCCCACTTTCTCTTTTTTCCATCCTAGCACGCACTCAATCAATATTTCTTGACTTGATGAGTATGAAAGCTTTGATAGATGTACCAGGTAAGGTTTAGAGACACATTTAAAGATACTGATGTTTTGATCAAAGATGCTGCCCTCCACTTTTTCTTTGATTGTGTCCGTGGAGTTTCAATGGGACTTGCTCACATCTGGACTATCTCGTATTAACATGAAGAGTTTCATTTCAAATATATAAGTAAATTTTCATTCAAGAAAGCACACTATAATATGGTGAGAGTCCTTACTATTTTCCAAGTGAAGCAGTTTTTCTACTCATGATTTTTTTGGGAGTTCTTATTGGCCAGGCAATCCTCAGAAACCTGACTCTAACTGTCACTTCTGTCTAATTTATTCTTACATATCCCATCACTGGAAAGTGACCAAACCTGCTAGAAAATTTCTCAATATAGGAAATGGCAGTGTCTGCTTCAACTGATGAGTTATCAGAACTGGCTTTACATATAGGCAGCATGGAAGTATGATTTGAATAACATGATATAAGAGACATTGGGGCACTACTCGGTCTCTCACTACTAATTCCCCTTCCAAAATGTCTGGAATACCACTAAGAAAAATTCGACTTTGGGGTCCCTCTCTCCGATTCAGTCTAGGCAAAACTGCCTGATCAAGTAACTCTTTCAAGGGCAACAGGGGCTCATTACTGTCTTTTCTCTCCAGACACTGGAAAATTCCTACCTTCCTACAGAAGACGTGAAATTGAGGAAAAAAGAAGCAATACCAAGTTGCATTAGGAGCCACGAAAGCCAGGCTTTGCCAACTTTACAGTTTGGGGCAGGTTGGCTGTTAGCTGGAATGCCATCTGGGTATTGAGGACCTTGCCCATTAAACAGGAGCTCCTATTTAATGTCTTGGTAAGAGGAAGCACCACAATCACTATGTTAGTGCTTCCAGGTCAAGGTATTTCCACTGTGATGACATTAGGGTGCAGTTCTCTGCAAAATAGTGCTGTTTTAAGCTGTCTAAGTGTGAGATTATGTATTACAACAGGGAGCTTTTTTTTTGCTTATTATCTTTTGTAAGACACCAAGGATGAAAGATACTTACTTCATCAAGGTAAGTGAGCCGTTTAGTGCCACTGAATATCTTACCCCTGTGGCTCACCATAGAAACCCAGCCTGGGTATTTTATTGCCTTCTGTACAGATATATTGAAATGAGATGCTCATCACCACAGGTTTCTTGCCACTCTACATATCCGTATTCACTCTCTGAGCTGGAGTTGTCTTCCTAAGGGTAATGTGAGAAGGATTTTCTTTCCAATATCCCCAGATTTATAGGGTTTCTATTTTACAAGACCTTATGGCACATATTTAGCTAGAGGCAGGTAAAACGAAAAAGGATTAAAAAGTCTAGCACCACCAGAGAAGAAAGGGATTGAAATATAAGCAGATGATTTGTAGTGTAGAAAGAAAAGTGGAACCTCTTTGTTGCTGATGGTCTAGTGATTGTAGCACAAATTTCTGTGGATTGAAGCAATGGCTCGTTTGTACTGAGAAAAGGTGCTTTAGATTAATTTTAGAAACTTCAATACTGCAATGTGCTAAATTTTAATTATTTCACTTCCTGCTTGGTATATTAATGTTGTGATTACCCTTGAAAGAGTATTACCGATGATGATTTATGCAAAACCCAGTCAGCTCCACGGCTCCATCAGTTTCAGTTAAAACAAGCCACAGAGGAGGTGTGCTGCGGCCCTGGTGCCTGTGATCACCATTGCTCCCACAAGCAGGTACAGTCCGTTTACTTAGAGCATTACCTTTGGTTTTCATTCTGGAACCATCTCTTCCATGGCATAACTCACCAGTGAGAAAGGAAACTGTAGAGATTTGGTCTGCTGGACTTGGATTCAGACTGAAACCATCCAGGGAAATGTATTTCATCTGTACTTCTCTGCTGATATAGGATATTCGGCGCCAACCCTTCCCTTTTTTGAACTGTTTGACAGCTGAACTGGCCAAAAGAAACTATTGACCAGTTAGCATTTTCTGATTTCAATTAACGACATTTGGTCAGTCTCTGGGCACTGGGGTCATCTGGAGTTAATCATAAAGTATGTGCGTTCTCTAAAACGAAGCTCTGGCCTCGAAGCTCATTTATCTCAATGACTTCAACTATCCAGAGGTCATAGGGTTTTTCGTGGTGCGTCCCCAGCACCCAGTGGCTCTAATTACTAATTTGGCTGCACAGTTATTGAAATCTCCTTTCTACCTGGCAGCCCTTCCTAAATCTAGTCCAGCAGTGTCGCTGAGTTTGCCTGCCAGGTCCAGGAGGGGCTCTTCTTTCTGAGTACCAGAGAGACAGGCAGCCAAACCTGATTTCAATGGCAGTTCCATTTTAATCATATTTGGAAATTCTTGACTATAGGCTTCTCATTTATAAAGTCCAAGGAGTCCCTACCTGCCAAGTGAGAGCTCTCTGGACAGCTTGCCAAGAGCAGAAACTGATTCCTGGCAAAGACAGGAAAACGCATGTGCTGTCCTCTTTTTTTCACGAGACAAAACGCTGGGACGGAATCGTAGAATCTTGGAGCTGGGAGACTGAAGCCTCCCCAGGGCTCATGCATGGTCTCCAGTGGACTCTTCTTTCCAAATTCATCCCCTGCACTCTCTTCTTCCTCAGTCTATACTGAGCAAACACACTTGAAGGTACCAAGAGCCTTCCTACCACATGGCCTTTGCCCTGGCTGCTCTCTCCATCCGAAAAGCTTTGCTCCTGTATGTTGAACGGTCAGGTTTGTTTGTTTGTTTGTTGTAATCCTTTAGGTCTGATATCGTTTGGTTGTATGTCCCCACCCAAATCTCATCTCAAATTGTAATCCCCATAGTCTCCACATGTTGAGAGAGGGACCAGATGGGAGGTGATTGCATCATGGGGGCAGTTTTCCCCATGCTGTTGTTGTGATAGTGAGTGAGTTCTCATGAGATCTGATGGTTTTAGAAAGCAATTTTCCCTGCTCTTGCTTGCCCCCTCTCACCTGCTGCCATGTAAATTGTGCCTACTTCCTCTTCCACCATGCTTCTAAGTTTCCTGAGGCCTCCCCAGACATGCAGAACTTCGAGTCAATTAAACCTCTTTTCTTTATAAACTCCCTAGTTTGGGGCAGTTGTTTGTAACAGTGTGAGAATGGACTAATACAGCTAATTGGTATATAAAGACACTTGAAAATGTGGAAGGGACTTTGGAACTGAGTAACAGGCAGAGGTTGGAAAAGTTTGGAGGGCTCAGAAGAAACAGGGGGATGTGGGAGAGTTTGGAACTTCCCAGAGACTTGTTGAATGATTTTGACCAAAATGCTGATAAAGATGTGTACAATGAAGTCCAAGCTGAGGTGGTCTCAGGTGGAGATGAGAAACTTCTTGGGAACTGGAGCAAAGGTCACTCTTGCTACACTTTAGAAAAGAGACTGGTGGCATTTTGCCCCTGCACTAGAGATCTGTGGAACTTTGAACTTGAGACAGATAACTTAGGGTATCCGGCAGAATAAATTTCTAAGCACCAAAGCATTCAAGAGTTTATCTGATTGATTTTGAAAACATTCAGTCTTATGCATTCACAACAAGATAGTTTGAAATTGAAACTCATGTTTAAAAGAGAAGCAGAGTGTAAAAGTTTGGAAAATTTGCAGCCTGACCATGTAGTAGAAAAGCAAATCCCATTTTCTGGGGAGGAATTCAGGCCAGCTGCAGAAATTTGCATAAGTAATGAGGATCCAAATGTTAAAAGCCAAGATGATGGGGAAAATGTCTCCTGGGCATGTCAGAGGTCCTCATGGCAGCCACTCCTGTCACAGGCCTGGATGCCTAGGAAGGACAGAACAAATGGTTTTATGGGCAAGGCCCAGGGACCACTGCTCTGTGGAGCCTCGGGACATGGTGTCCTGCATCTCATGGCTAAAAGGGGCCAAGGTATAGTTCAGGTCATTACTTCAGAGGGTGCAAGCTCCAAGCCTTGGCAGCTTTCAGGTGGTGTTGGACCTGTGGGTAAAGAATTGAAGTTTGGGAACCTCTGCCTACATTTCAGGGGATGTATAGAAGTGTCTGGATGTCTAGGCAGAAGTTTGCTTCAGGGGTGGAGCACTCATGGAGAACCTCTGCTAGGGCAGTGTGGAAGGAAAATGTGGGGTTGGAGCTCCCACACAGAGTCCCCATTGGGGCATGGCCTAGTGGATCTGTGAGAAGAGGGTCACTGTCCTCAGACCCTAGAATGATAGATCCACTAACAGTTTTCACTGTGCACCTGTAAAAGCTGCAGACACTCGACACCAGCCATGAAAGCAGCCTGGGCATGAGGTTGTACTCTGCAAAGCTACAGGGGCAGAGATGCCCAAGGCTGTGAGAGTCAACTCTTTGTGTCAGTGTTCCCCGGATGTGAGATATAGAGTCGAAGGAGATCATTTTGGGGCTTTTAAGATTTAATGACTGCCCTGCTTGATTTTGGCCTGGCATAGGGCCTATAGACCCTTTGTTTTGGCCAATTTCTCGCATTTGGAATGTGAATATTTATCCAATGCCTGTACCCTCATTGTATCTTGGAAGTAACTAACTTATTTTTTATTTTACAGACTCATAGGTGGAAGGGACTTGACTTGTCCCAAATGAGGCCTTGGACTTGGAGTTTTGAGTTAACGCTGGAATGAATTAAGACTTTGGGGAACTGTTGGGAAGGCATGAGTGTGTTTTGAAATGTGAGGACATGAGATTTGCGAGGGGCCAGGGGCAGACTGATATGGTTTGACTCTGTGTCCCCACACAAATCTCATCTCAAATTGTAATCCCCATAATCCTCACATGTCAAGGGAGGGACCAGATAGGAAGTGATTGGATCATGGGGGTGGTTTCTCTCCATACTGTTCTCGTGATGGTGAGTGAGTTTTCATGAGATCTGATGGTTTTATAAGACAGTTTTCTCTGCTCTTGCTGGCTCTCTCTTGCTTGTCACCATGTAAGATATGCCTACTTCCCTTTTTACCGTGATTGTAAGTTTCCTGAAGCCTCCCAGCCATGTGGAACTGTGAGTCAATTAAACCTCTTTTCTTTATAAATTACCCAGTCTGGGGAATGTCTTGATGGCAGTGTGAAAATGGACTAATACAAGATTTGTACTCAAATGTTTCTTCCTTAGAGGCCTTTGACCACCATATTATTCTCTACCACTAATTGTTTATTTCCTCGATGGTGCATACCTTGGTTTGCAAGTTTACCTCTGTGCTGTCTGACCCTCCTGCTACAGTGTAGAGGAACTTTTCAGGAAGGCTCATTTGCCATGATGTGTCCAGCATTGAGCACAGAGCTGGGATGACAGTGTTACCATTTTTGTTCTCTATGTTCATGAAAGTGATCCCTTATGTTTCAATCTTGTTATAATTCCCATTCCTACTCATTCAACAGGTATTTATTTATTTGCTACTATATGAACCATTCACTAAAAGGCACTTTTCAAGACAGATTCTGATTGATACTTCTTGTGGAGGGTAAGGGCAGCTTGGTTTGCTCTGTGTAGACTTGGATTTGAGATCTACTATGCTCATATCAGGGGTTAGCATTTGTTCTCAAAAAGAAGGGAAGTGTGGTTAATTAGTGTGATAATGGTTAAAGCGGTCTGTCACTGCTTTCCTGGACAAGCTGTCATGCTGTATTCTGGTGAGCACCACCCTCTGCCTTGGGATAATGAGGTCAGGAAAGCCACTGGCAAGTGGAGTTGACAAGTTAGGTTCATGACACTCACTCACATGGTAACCTGTGCTATCCCTGTATTTGTTTCTTGTAATTGCCTCTTTTGTTAAAATTTAGTTGCAGTATGATCAGTTTTTGTCCTTTTTCTTCACCTATTAATACTTGTACAGTTTCATTCTGTCTTTTCAGCCCAACTCTTGAAACAATGCACACTTTTTGTGACACTCACAACAGTAATGTTGACTTCTCCTTATCTCTCTTTCCTTGTTCTATTCTTTACTGTGGCAGATGGTCAGGCCACCACTGAAGTTCTCTGCCCTTATTCACAGACAAGGAAGTCACGTTCTAGGTATCTTTAGTGTGCCTTCCTCTGCCTCCCTACTGGCCTGACCAGAAAGCCCATTACTGTGTATCTATTTGCAGTGTCACCTGAACCAAGGGACAATGCTTGAGACCTATAGAGGGGCTAAGGACACCATTTTTGTCATGAGGTAGATGCTGCAGTCCTGGTTCTCCCACTTCCTGGCTTTGTAAGCTGATGCAGGTCGTAAATGTTCTGAGTTTTGATTTCCAGTAAGATGGAAATAATTAAAACCTCATGGTTATTATTGTGAGAATTAAATAGATAATGTATAATAAACATTTATACATAAACTATGTATAATAAGCTATTAGCACAGTTTTGGCATATATAATGTAGAAAACAAACACATCTATATCTTTAGAAGAGTGTCGGGAAGTTATTCACCCTCAATTAACCAAAGCCTAAACGTGCACCATTAGCAATTTTCTCCTTTGAAATAGCATTCTTTTTTGTGGTCCTTCATGGAAATAAATATACTATTGGGACATTGTATTTATCAAGGTTCTGACAGGAAACAGATGGCATGCTCCAAACATTTTCACTAGAAAGATTTGAATAAAATGTGCTAACAGTATTGAAGGAGCTCATCAGGAATGGGGAGGCACCTGGGGCACCTGACAGCAAGAACTTATACTTCCCTTTGGTAATAACAGGTTTCAATTTCAATAGCAGTGAACAATAGAGGACGCAACT